ATATGCAGTTCACAAACACATCAAAGTCCAATAACTGATGAAATGGACCTCCATCTTTAGTTTCATCCATATCCCATTTAGCAAGGTTAGCACTAAAATACAGGACACATTAGTATTACCTATACTGTCATAAATGTCTACCATTATGCTGTGTACTTACTCTGGAATGCCAACTTTTCTAGCTAAATCCAAAGAACCTTTACCACATCGCCCCAAGGCACCAATGAYGACAATACGTGGGCTGAAGTGAGAGATCCCTACAAAAACAAAGTTAAAATAATTCTAAAAGACTTGACACAGCTTAATTTAGACTCACATAATGCTGCATTGAAGATTAATGATAATTTACTTTGATTTCATTAGCATGGAATGGAAGATCTCAGCTTAATTCTTATATCGCCTTAAAGACCCAGTGTGCAGCATTATGCTTTGGGGCTTCAAGGGCAATTTTCAGTTTACCAAAAGTCTATAAATTGTACTGTGCATTTCGAATCTTTGACCATCTCACTTTCCTAAGCACTTTAATATTAGAGTTTTTAACCATCCGACATTCGTTTTAAGGTGATATTTGGATACTAGAAGTATTTTGGTGTATATCATAACAATAAAAGCCGAGGCATGCAAAGCATAATGTAGCCTCCTCCGCAGGCATCACTAAGAATCACGGGCTTCCTGTCTTTTTGAGGAATCAAAAGAGGGAGAATGGGGTCGAGAAAAGGGGAGCGTGTGATGTGCAAACTGGGCCTTTAAATTACAAGCATAATGTATCATTTACAATACAAACCTTTTTCTTCACCAACTTTCCTCAATTGATTTCTCACATGTTTCACAAGATCTTCCTTGCTGGTAAATGGTTTTACTGATGGCATTGGGACTTTGGAGCTTAGAAATGAGAAATAAAATTTTATAGAACAACACTACTCATTAATATATATGCATTATAGATGCATTACACTCACTTTAGCATCTTGTGACACCATGCAAGAATACCAATAGCCATTCCAGTGAACCCAGCAATGTGAGGGAATACTGCAACAGTACGACGACCTGAAWGMCACAACCACTTTAGTCAAACCAGAGTMTAGCWCACAAACATTTTAAACATGATATTGTAAGCTGTGACATAGAATTGCATAGTATTATTATTAGATATCTGTGAAATACCTTGGTCATCTGTGATATATTCTACATCAAGAACACATCCCCCACCCTTGTCAAATCGTTGTAGTAGATTGCACCAGCCTGATTGGTTCTGAAAATAAGTGTCCCAACTATTAGACAGTGTTTGTGATGTSTATTTCAARCTGTAGYRTACCTTGTAAGCATGAGCAAAGTAGATGTGTTTTTGTGTAATTGGTTCGTCTGACTTTGGAAGTTCCTTGATGCCCAAGATGTAAGCATCTTTAGGTGCACYGGTCCATGATCCTTCAGGTACAATGTTAATTCCATTGATCCTATGAAAAAGTCAACATGGTAATATAATAAGGTTGGATTACCCATGGTTTAGTAATAAAAAGTATAACAGAAAGATGATTTGTAAAATATAATTCTTACTTTTTATATTCATCATCATTGAACACTCTTTGGTTTGACTGTTCGACAGTTACTTCAAACCCTAAARCACATTATATAATGATTATTCATTCAGCATGGTAAAACCAGCACATTGACCTGGACAAACCAGTTTTTCATAAAGATATGGGGATTGAAGAAGCTTATAAATCATCACATTTTGAGCAGACTAGACATTATCACAACACAATGCCAAAACAGTACAATCTTACATAATGCAATACCTGTGGTACTCCCTCCCCCACTTGGGTGGGGGTGTGCCGCACGACCCTCAAAACCCTTACCCTATTCCAGACAAATTTTTGTGATTTTACATACCCTACCCCAGACKAAAGGTACAAAGGTACATTATTTTAGCACTCAAAGCGTGACCTAGCAGATATGATCACTAGACCTTAGACAAAAAACTACCCTATCCCAGACAAAACTACTACCCTATTCCCGGGATGAGACACTGCCATAAACACCTAAATAACAACAATCAGTTACCATCCGCTGCTGTGAGTTCYACTGCATCAATACGCTTGACAAACTTACCAGCTTGRAGGAGTTCTTGGCATTTTTCTGGAGTAAGATGCGTACGATGCTCGTTTTCTTTCGACTCTGCCCGAAGCCACAAGTGAACTGGTCGAGACATTTTGGAAAAATTAAACGCTAAAAACTAGCTATAACTATTACTTATACCTCTATATATACATATAGAACGTAGAAAAGAATTYCTATTATCGTTTAAATGCATTAAAAGCAAGTAAAAACGCATAAATCTACAACATTCAGCAGTCATCGAMTCCAACAGGTTTGCTTYCMCACAATGCAGCGCGCGCTCAAAGACGCAACGCGCAACCGTGGCAAGGAGGGCGATCCGTGGTCGCAGKCTGGTCGCAGTGCTTGCAAGATTGTAYCGGAGAGYAACGTTTATGATCTTTTCGMATCATATCATTTCGATGTCATTCCTTTATAAGTACCGTTTCGCGATCATACKGAAAACTGCACTCTGCRACATTATCATTGGTGAAGGSTKGCCGTGCAAATGGGGCGGGGYTCATGCCTTTCATTCTGCAACTAAAGGGGAGGGGCTTCACAAAATTATTTAAAGTTGTTTAAGGGGTYATGTGTTTTAGTTCAGCCCATTCAAGAGATATAGAATTATTGCAGTAAAGTCAGTATATGATGATGAAACTTTTTATTCTTTTGAAATCTTGTCAGCAGCAGGCACAAATGACTTCAAAGCATGATGACKTTTAGGTTGGTCATGTTAATTTATGTTTGCATGTWATTTTGTGCATTTGGAAGCTCAAGGCCAAAAGAAAATATGTCCAGGGAAATACCAGCCCGTTCSCCCTCTAATAAATGACTGTCCCTTATACGTAATCATCCCTTTAGAGTCAATGAATACAGTATATGCTCAATAATGCATCACTTTATTTCGCTTATATATTGACAGCACGTATATACAGACACCAGTCACCATGACCAGTCAGCTTCGAACCCAGTGGAACAGTTATTTTTAGGAATCAGTTTCCAKTAAGTGGTCGCTTGGAGATACAAATTTTATCTTCTCGGMTACGCTCACTCGYGAGAGATCTTTTCAACTCRAAGATAAAATCCGTATCTCCGCGCGCCCATGTAATATCCTCTATTTTCTTTATAATCATAATTTGTATTTCTATCATTTCGAACTTGCTGGTTAACACTCTAAACACCATCCCTACATCMGCMCTTGGAAGTGTAAGTGAYCTTCAGCCACAAAGGCGYTGTTTCTATAGTAATMCTAAGTATTCCTTCTTCTCACACCGTGAAACACSTCCGTCGCTGGGTCTCAAATCTCTCCTAAAACGAGACTATTTATGGACATGATGCAACATATTTCTCTATTTCTACTTAATAATCTACTTATGTCTATAGACTTTAGTACWAAACGCGGAACCTACAATCTTGGAAAATAAGTTCGACTGAGTGACATCATAACCCTGAATCAACATTTTGTCACGGTTCCCTGGTAAAGCAGGGAATAAGGGGAGACGTGCAAAGTCAAGAGTCAACCTTTTTTTCGTCCACGACTGTAGCTTCCAAGTACGACACAATAAATTAAATTTAAGACACGCGCATCAAACTACAATGCGTACTGAAAACATAGCTAGCTTGTATTTATCTACATTCTTGATAGAGTACTCAGGAACGACGGAATCGTAGATACAAGAACTATAAGGACTATAAACTCGTCTAGAACTATAGCGCTGTGTACATTTATGACGTARCCGAGTAATATTTATCAGTTTTTCATGATTTTAGATTCATTACATCAACKTAGACAAATTTACTTTTTTTCCTTGCCTCACAATGGTACACTGAATTGATACGTTGCAACTGAAGATAAAGTTCAGTTTGTCTAGCTTGAAGTGCGTGAATCTACAATAATGATCTAAATCCAACCTACAAACTTTTTTTGCAATTTATCAGCTTTGTTTGTCAGTAATTAGTTGAAATGCGATGAAAAGACAAAAGAGGCAATTGCATTCCATGTGCATCAGTGAAGAGTGCAGTTCAGTTTCTATGGTGATTTTACGATACATACAATACCTACAGCTGTCCTTGGTTACCAACACGACCTGGTGGGACTAGTCATCGTTTCCAGTGGTTCATTGCTGAAAAGAAATGTTTGCAGTTTATCATGCTAGTTGCAAACGGAGACATCAGTTGTGTTTTTCTAATTCTCAGCAAAGACACTGATTTTTAAAAACTGCTTTTGTTTATCAAATGTTAATAGAATCTTTGCTGACTTACATGGATTACATGGAAAGGCCAATTCAATTCAAATCTCTGTGATGTAACTCTAAGCTGATAGCGCGATCGATGCCCCATCCCGTCCTCCCCCCCCCCCATCCTATCTCACTACCTTATCCCGTACTATAGTACAATTAAAAAGTGTAATTACAGAGTGCCCTCCAGGCAATAACGAAAATAAATATCTTAAAACAATAATATTTTGACTGAAACAGTAATAACTATACTATTGACATTAGATATATAGATAAACAAATAAATAAATAAATAAGATTTTGGCATACATTCTATGATTTATGATAAATAATATCTACTTTTCTACGTTGTTGATCAGTATCGGTTGCTCTTAATGTTGTGGTCATTTGTTGTTATCGTTTTTATGTTATCATAAGTTGTTGTTGTAAGTGTTATTATGTTGTGGYTGTTGTAGATTCTGTCTTGTGTTGATAGGTGTCGCTAATACAATGCGCATGCGTTCTTATTGTCAATTTGTCAACCCACAGAAGACTTGAGYAGAAAGCTATGATTGCATCATCTCAAGCCGTGATGCAAGAGGAGTGATTTATACAAGAAGGTTCTGTTTCAACCTTGTTGTTCTTGTTAGCTGTCTTCACAAATGGGAGAAGAGTTGCGCGGTAGTATGGATCCATGACGGCGTACACAATGGGGTTAATGGCTGATCCAATTACTCCCACACCAGATGAGCATGCGTGAAGGTTGAAGTACACTTCCGAGTATTGGCCGAAGATTCCCGACAGCTGTACGACCAAAAAAGGTGTCCAGCAAACCGTGTAAACGATGGCAATCCAGAAACACATCTTGGTCACGTGACGTTCGTCAGCCGATGCGTTGACTCCGCTGAGGTTAGAGTTCATGTGCTGTGAAAAAAATGATAATAAAAAAACCCTTGATTCCAACATATTTTAACACATACATTCTTAGGATCAGTATATAATACTGGAAACAAATGGCCCCAATCAAGCCACACTAGCGTGTGAAAACCGCGACGCGAACCGTGTTTCTATTGAAATCGACACGATAAAGGGTATTATAACCACAGGCATTCCATCCAAAGAGAAAACAAGACATTGAATTGTATAACCTGACAATTAAATCTCAGCTGTGGTTTTATTAAACCTACTGTGCTKCCAGCCATCAACAGACTTTATAATCACAATGTGACCGCGGCGAGTTCACAATAAATGTCAAAGAGACCTCACAGTAAAGGGAAGGGAGGGGTAGGTGGGGGTGAATACGAATGCTTAAAAATCACAGAAATGAACTTGAAAATATAAATAAAATTGTCTAAATTKATTTAGAGGTTTTCATTTTAAATCATTTCAACTACTCGCAAAAGGGGATCTTAGTGTCAATTAAGTCGCCGTCAAGATTAGATTGGATTGGTAGTAACGACTATATTGCCTATTGATTAGAATTGATTTCAGATGAAGGACTAGTGTACAGTTATAGAAGATTTGTACCTTGTTTATGGTCCAGTAAATAGAGACAGTGATTGCAATGGACAATCCATACAGCAAGGATGAGTAACCAAGGAAGTAGACGGTGAAGGCATCAACCTCAGTGTTGATCAGCAGACAGCGGTAAAACTTCGGGTTGGTGTTGTTCTCGTTCAAGAAGTTTCTCCATGCCATGCCAACGAGACCGAGCGATGTTACGCAACAAAACGACCAAAACACGGCCACTATCTTCTGGACTTGTTTCATCGTCATCTTAGGCTCCCTCGGATTCAACATGACATCTTTACGGTGTAAGGCAAGTAGAGGAAAGATAGCATACATCATCGAGATAGACAGCATAGACAAAAAGATGCAACCTTCACAGAGTGGTGTCTTGGCGATCAACATGGCCGAGGCATTGCTACGGTATACCAACAAAATCGGTGTGAATAAGGCACACAAGATTAGGTCTGCCACAGAAAGGTTAGCGATGAGGAAACGAAAGATACAGGAATGAGCAGACTTGTCGACTAAATAGGAGCGAAATACCAAGCCATTGCCAACTGTACCAACGATAATGGTGATGATATACAGAGGCAAAACAAAGAATGTCGTCTCCGTGTACTGCTGGTAGATAGCTGGAGTCGCCATTGTTGCTTCAGGTGGTGGTGTTGAAGTCAAGTTAATGCGGGTGATATTCGCTGACAGCAACTGACGGAACATCAGCGTGTGATTGGTCTACAAGACAAAACTATGATAAACCCTTTGATCCCACTTGTACAGCAAGATAACATTACGCGCGAACTACATAACATTTATTTTCACAATAACCTAGCTATTGGGAAAACAAACTGAATTGCGATATAAACCAGCCATGTTATTCATAGAAATATTTTGGAATGATACAGTRGTATGAAAAACAAATCAAATGGATAACAACACAAACTGAAGAAAAACAGGAAAAAAAAGAATATGAAAAATGAAATAAGAAAAGAAAATTGACGCCACAATATACTAGATTTCCTTGTCGTTTTATAGTTCCAAGGATGTAGCAAGGAATTGTCCGGCGTCAGTAAGAGCTTATGTCGAGTAGCTAGTGAATTTAGTTACCACAGCTTTAAAAGACCCAGAGATGACTGACACCTTGCCTTAGCTAGAGAGAGTAAAAACTTACGAAAAAAAAGAGAGATAAATAAAAAAAGGAAAAACTCTGAGACGCTAACCTTTTCATTCGTTAGTTGTCTACTTTGCGAGGCAGATTGCACTGAAGAGTTTCAAGCCAAACGGATCTGTGGATGAGAGATCTATAGTTAAGATCGTCATAAAACTGAGGACTCAATCAATTATCCAATCATCAAACTTGTTCTAAAGAACCGTCAGCGATCATCTAATGCATCTAGAACACAGCCTTCTGGAGGCAGGTGTTGATAATTTGGATAATACCGACGACATCTTATAAAAGACATTAKGTAGCTTAATGGCCAAGAAAAGAGTTCAGCGAAAATTGACGTTAATCAAAAGCACTAAGATGAGTGTGTAGAAGTGTCAATTAACTATYGAGTGGGTTCTCATAAAAAGGAGGGAGTCAGTTTATTACTTACTAGGAAATATATACCATATATTGTTTGTTGGTTTTGATGGAATAGTGTATGGTCTATGAAGTTTACCGCAAAACGCTCCTTTTCCGCAGCAATTAAACTTATGCAGGGTGCTTTGACGGAAAATGATTAGCCGACCAAAAACGGTAATGAATCCGCGCCATRATAAACGAGTAGCCAATGAAAAGAAACGAAATCATGAAACTGATCGTATAACAAATACCGACGGGCCAAACCGATGGAAAAACAAAGATGTTCAGATATCAATGAATGAGTCTAAAATTGCTGATTGAATGGTATACATAAGAAAAATCAGTGTTTGAGCTGTTTCCTTATTTTTAAGTGTCTGGAAAAAAATCTAAAAAAAGAAAAAACAAACCACTTTAAAATTAACGACTTCACTACTTTCTCCGGTGATCACATCCTCGCCTCATATCACTTTATAAAACAATGCATCGTTTGTCTAGAAATAAACTCATTTTCGTGAAAAACCGGACATGTCAATGGTTGATTATGATTTATTATTTAGAATATCATATAAACAAAAATAGCCCTGAAATAGAATATCCTTTCTAAGAATACCTACAGCAAATTAGAAATTGTGAAATATGGAAATCTGATATTCAGTACTTCTTATATCGTTTTCTATTGAGAAAAACATCCATTGCGAAAGCATGAGCAGTTGCTCTACAAATTTCCGATAACAGATATAACATACTGAGAACCACTGGAAAAAATCGCGCAGTAAATTTGATGTAAAAACGATGTAAATTTAATGGAAATRTGATGTAAATTGAACGATGTAATAATCGCTTAAATCCAAATTTACACGATATTACATCATTTTGGACATTTACGCGATATTTACAACCTTTGTAAATTATAATAGAAATTGAATTTACATCATATTTCCATTAAATTTACAACCTTCATGAGTTTTTTTCTAGTGAATACACTATAGTTATTATCCATTTTGAATACAAGTCAGTGGATTAGTCATGATGTTGATACGGCAGCTGAATTTGCTTCTGCCAGGAAAGCAATGCAGGAACAGACAACGCGGACTTAGTTTTCTTATCTTTCGATTTACAGCTGTCTATCTTAACGTAAATAAACAATCTTGTTTCTATGTGAGACTCAGCAGTGGATGAAGTAATACTAGAAGATAAGATTTTGTGAACAAATGGAAATTTGGCGCAGCTGCGAACGAGTAAAGTGTTCGGTYTTAGTAGATGATTGTCTAGGGCTAGTGACGCCGTAGGAAACGAGATCCTGCTCAACAAATGAAAAATGCACCGCCAATAAAGAAAACAATGAATGGACCATCGTTTAACATTAGGGATAAACCAGGAAAGTCGACTACTGATTAAGTATAGTTTGTTTACAATGATTTAGTTGAACTAAGTATAGTTTGTTCACAGTGATTTAGTTGAACGCCTATAGAAGAGAGGATAACTAGACATGATGACTGTTTTAGTAGCTGAAATGGACAGCAATAAATCTMGTTAAATGAGCGCATAGATGAACAAATAAATGATTAAATTGGTCGATGAATGTCACAATGAAGGAACGACTAATTTGAAACGAATGGGTAAACGAATAAATGAACAAACGGTGTCATTAGTGATACTTTGAAGTTTATGTCAAGAGGGCTAGTGTCCTTCCATTAGAGTGATCGAATTAATGACTATAAACTAAATAGAAATACATCACAAAATAAGCAACTATTCACTTAACACGAAACAAATTRATGCATATATTGAGACTCGATGGATTATTCGAATTATCAAACTAGAACAKCTACTGCTCTAACCAACGATTTGGGCTTAAACACCGACTATACAAATAAATAGTTTTTTAGAAATTGTAAATTGTGTACTTGGACGGGTCAATTAAGAATGTCAGTTCAATGGAGGGTACAGATGCCAGGTGAGTAAGGCAATACGAAGTGAGCAATACAAAGGAACCTGATGTCGCCAGGCTTATTTTTGTGACAGTATTTGTTGAATCTGAGGCAGTAGCCTGTTTTTGCTCGATTTAGTCGACATAGCTCTACTACATTTATATCATCACTGCTAGTAACAGTTAAAAAAATGAGACAACGGACGTTAAATTTGACAGTTTCTTCATCAAAGTCATTTTGATTTTCTTTGTTCTTCGATATTGAGCTTTTATATCCAGATTTACTTACATCTCTGAGTTTCTTTGGCTTGRTGGTTTGGAGMAAAATAGATGAATTAGTAGCCAGTTCAACCGTAATGCCGATCAATCGACTAGCTCTTAATCTTATATGGAGGGACTTATCACGTGACCACGTCTTTAATACCACGCAGGTGAAAGCCAAATCAGCCTCGTTCGCACGATATGTTTTTTCCCGTAATTATCCGCATTGATTAACGAAAAATGTTGTTATGTACAGCAGGGCATTCATTCAATGAAAATTTTGCTTTTTCAGCATCGAGGAATGCCAATATTTACCGCTGTATGCCACTAATATACTTCAAGACTCGGTAAACACATTAACTATTATACGACATATAATCAGTATAAGCCCCTTTTATGTATGTTTGGCAAGGGGGTAGGGAAGCCGGGTAATAGCGCTGATAATAAAATTTTCGCCAGTAATGCACAATGTCAAGATTGTCGTTACAAAACCAAGGAAGTTTGAGTRTCAACTGSGTCTTATCCCAATTTTATCAAGTCAACTCTTTTGCTTTTGTTACCCTTGGGAGTTGAAAACTGTATTACAGACGTTTCGGAAGTTTACTAATCCTTTGTCTTTTCACAATTGAAATGCCTTTTAAGAGATAATCTTTTTCAGAATACATTTYTAGTATGCCTTTTATTATGTATAAGGACTGAGTTATATCCGATAAAAATTCAACCATGTYAACAGTATAGTAGAAACACGTGGAAACACGAAGTGGCGAAGTGCAAACACGTGACGTACTKGATATGTTATTTATGCCCTCWCCCGAAATGCTTAATACGTTTTCGTCCAAAATCATCCAACCGTTATCTTTGATTTTATTTGAACAGCAAAAAATCTGCCTTTTTCAAACGCGGATCTAGGGAGGGTCAGGTGTGGGGGATTAAGGTGGCTCCCGTCCCCATTTTTTAAAGGGCTTCAAAGACATAAAGATAAGAATTATGATATAAGTGTATAAAAGAAGAAATTAAACCTTGATGGGACTCATTCTGAAAGCATCTAAAGCAGCGTTCAACTGAAAAGAAATTTAAGTTTCAGCAGCCCTAAATCTATCCTTTAAATCATTAGAGACACATGACTTGTCCCCCCCCCCCCCCCCCCCCCCCTTTGTGATGTGTCTGTCACTGCTGTATGAAAAAGTGTCGGAGGCATCAGGTGTTTTTTTGTTTCTCCACAGCCTCGTTTGCATACTCTCTAATGATGTCATTAGGGAACCTTTGCCTAGTTTCCCTTCACAGCAAAATATAAACGTTTTTGAGGTCTATTCCGAGTGAAAGTCGTTGAAGAGCATCGATAKCTACTGTGAGTATAAATTCTGTTGCGATGAATTGTAGGATCTTCATACGACTTCCTGCAATGCTCAAATGCGCTACACGTGAAAAGATTTGATGCAAATAAATGATGGTAGGTAATTCAAATACACTTAGATTAAAGATCAATCACTCCTACGCCGTTTGGTCAATATRGGGGAATTAATGAGAGATGTGTATAGCTTTCAACATATAGCGAGGCGGTTTGGGAAGCTAAGAACCGCATCAGTTTTGCTATAAAATATACTATTTCACTTACTATTATGAATTTTGTCAGTCTTGATAATCCAGAGAATTCCAAGGAACAGTGCAAAGGTTTAYGATATWATGCATTTCTCGTGATTGAATGAGGACAGCAGTCMAGGCTGTACAGCAGAGTCCGTAGTTGTGTTTATATTTTGGAGTTCCTGTTGTACCACAGGGTACCCGGTCATAATGTCGATTCGCTTGGCCGTTTCATCTGATGCAAGTGCTATTTACGATGTCCATACTTCATCAATACGAGAAATTTGCTCGGAATAT